TTTTTTTTTTTTTTTTTACTGTTACAAGAATATTGAGAAAATTAATTATATTGTAAAAATGCATTTTAAAAATTCACTCCCTACATTAGGAAAATTCATTTTTAATATGTTTTGTTTATATGCAGTTATAAGCTCTTTTGAAAATATTCATATTGTCTTGGTACATGATAAAATTGTTATTATTATTTCTTTGTGCGCTTCTATTGATATTCAGAATGTTAAATTAAAATCCTAGAGATCCAGTACTGCAATTCAAACTTAAAAAAAGGAACATCTTATTGTGGCAAATATATATATATACACACACACACTCTCAAATATGTGTAAGTTTAATAATTTTTTAAACTTGATTATGCTCAATCATTAACGTGCTTTTACAGCCTGGTTTGGATGGGAAAAATTGCATTGCAGATGAGCATTACTTACCTACCTTCTTCCAGGTGAGAATTTCTATTGTAATACTGGCCTGTTTTTACAGTTTCAACTGTCAGCTAATTGGCTTACGATTCTGCTTTAGATTGTTGATCCTGGTGGAATTTCGAACTGGTCAGTAACTCATGTTGACTGGTCTGAGAGAAAATGGCATCCAAAATCATATAGGGTCCAGGATGTTACGTCTGAGCTTTTGAAGAATATTACGGTATAGTGCTACTGCAACATACACGGTTCCTTTGGTATGTTTGGGTGTGTATTTTGGAGGGGAAGGAAAAGAGTATATATATATATATATATATGTATGTATGTAATTGATGCGAATACGTATATAGGTTGGAACACGTACGATTGGTAGAACTGCTTCTGAATTTTCGCAGACAGAATATACAGCTCAAATAATACGTATTCTTCGATCAAGGCTTCGTTTGTCCAAACTCTGCAACAAATTTGCCCACAAAACGAAGCAACAAAGCCAGTGGCTGATTATAAAATTAAAATTACAAGAAGTTGTTTTCATGTATATATTATTTGGAGAGGTTTTTCTGAGCATGATTCTTTTGATTTATCTTTTGAAAAATGGTATTTTTTTTTAAAGATTTTTTCTTCTTACAATAATACTAATAAATTTTTGAATAAAAATCTGACTTAGTCATGAGAGGGTTAAAATAGTGTGCATAGAATTCTAAATTCAAATCATGATATCATCAATGTAATTCTGATGGATAAAAAAATCTAAATTACCTATCACTAATGTCAATTTTAATTTTTTTTAAGTTATATTTTCTTCATCCCATAATAAATGTAGTTTTAAAAGAAAAAATAAGTCAAAATAAGTTATATTAACTTTTTAATGTAGTATTAATTATGTATTTTTCATTTTTGTCCCTAATAATATTATTTAGAAAGAATTTTTTATGTTACGTACATTGTTTCTCATAAAAAAATTAATTTATAAATTTCATTTTATAAAATTATAATTTTATTTATTTATTAAATTTTTTATTTGTATAAAATAATTTAAGATGACATTTACTTATTATGAAAAAAAAAGTATAAAATTATAATTTTTATGGTCATCACATTAGTTTTGCTACAAATTAAATACCTTTATGGGGATCAGTTGTCTGTAAAACAAGGAAAGTACATTAATTAGATTTGAAATCACAATATGAAAGTGTTTAAGGAGGAGAAAATGAGGAGAATAATTTAAGGCATTCATATATCTTGACCAAAATATGTTCCTCACATTACCAAGTCATGACAAGGGCAACAATATTGTAGTTAATGGTCATTTAATCCTATTATAAGGTTAAAAATGATAAGATTTGGAAGGAAAAGAAATTCTACATAGTGAACCTAATGTGGTGGAAAAGAAAATAGAGTTATCTCCATCGTCTCTATTATGAGGATCGCCTAGGTAGTTTTTATCCTTCAAAGACAACCAATCCAATATATTTGACGTGCATGTAAAGTTTATACGTGGTTGCAATGTTTTAGTGCGAACGTAGAAAAAACATACTACTTTGATTGTTAATATAATTAAAAGAAATTATTCACGTAAATTAAGAACGTTAGTTTATTGTTTTTTTTTTTTTTAAAAGAACAACAACGTTAGTATTAATATATTGTTTGATTTTGTTAATCTCATAAAAAATAACTTATTTTTTAAAATTATCATTTTCTGAAACTTCATATCAAGAGTAAAAAGAAACAGTGAAAATATAATTTTTATTCAAAAATGATGCAAGACAAACGAAGAAGAAAAAGTAAAGTTGAAATTTAAATTAGAAAGAAATTGAAAATAGATTTTTTTTAATATTTTAAAAATAATTTTAGTCTCTTTAGTTTCTATTTAACCAAATAAGAGAAATTTTAAAAAATAAAATAAAAAACCCTCTCTCTATATTTTCTTTTTCTCTAAACAAATATAGGATAAAAATAATTTGTTTGCAGGTTTAATAATTTTAAATGAAATATATTTTTTGTAAGACGTGAATGAACAGTTTTAAAGATGTTGACGTATCAATTAAT